TTTAAAAAAGGGAAAAAGTGTTCAGGTTGGAAACATTGTTATGTTGATCCTATGTGTTGTGTATTGTGGAATCTGGATGTGTCTATATGCATTGTCCCTTCTAGCTGCTTTGCAACCGTATGTTTGTTTCTGTTTTTGCTTTGTTTCTTTGTTAAATGTCAGTATGTTCAAAATGAAAAGAGACTAATGGTTATAGGCTTCCGAGAAAAAGCCAAAAGAAAAAAAGAAATGATGATGAAATGAGAAAAAAAAAGGAAAAGAGAAAAGAAAAATATATGTGAAATATGTGTCTGTCTTTTGGGAAAAAGGGAAAATGTTTGTTTGCATTTCCTGAAAACTTGAATGTGTGTATGGCTAGCCAAAAGAATGTGTGTAGCTGTTAGTGTTGAGAGAAATAATCTTTACAGGTTTCAAATAAAAGGAAAAAGAGGATAATTCAGGAAAAACCTGGAACCATACATATGATGGGGAAAGACCAAGTATGTGGGTAAGAGAAAAGTCACCCAAGAAGAAAGTTAAGGTATGTTGAGAATATGTTGAGAAAGCAAGGGGAAAAGTAAGTCAGAAGAGAGAGAATTTGGTTAATCACAGGAGAAAAACCAGAGTGTGTGATTACCATGTGGGAAAAGAAGTGAAAAGAGGGAGAATGGGAATGTAAAAGAAAGTCATACAGTAGTGATGAAATGTTAGTACAGAAGTAAAGAGGGATTAAAGATAATGAAAGAAAAACTGTTGAGATGTGTGAGATTAAGAAGTGTGAGAACTGAATGATTAGATTCCTTTTTGAGAAGAGAATTGCAGTAAAGAATAAATGAGTGTATGTATGAAATCAGTTTTGGGATGAATAAGATGGTTGTGTTGAGGTTGTGTGAGGTTGTGTGAGGTTGATTGTTTGCAAATGCCTGGTGGGGTTAAAAAGGGAAATTATGTGCTGAGAGTATTCAAGAATGGCCACTTGAATGCCCTCACGGGGAAAGAAAAATTGGAAAAACTTTTTTGGAAAAAAAAATTGATATTAGTTTTGAAACTGTTTGAGAGAGAGAAAAAGTAGTGACAATTTGAGATGCATTTAAATTTAGAAGATTTTGTGGGGAGAGCTGTGATGAATTGAATGTTATGGGGTTAAATTGCTAAAATATTGAGATGCTTTTTAAGGTTCAAAAATGTTAGTAATTGAATTGGTAGAAGAATGAAGATAAGCTGTTGCAATATGATGTGAAAGTGGAGGAGGATTAAGCATCAAGGAAAGAAGTACAGATTTTAAAAATGTTAATTAATTACTTGTTACAGTATCCCCCTGTTTTACCAGAGGATTTAAAGTGGCTGAAAGATCCTGGGGAGTGTGACACCTGAGACAGGAGTGAAAGGGGTCTGCTACTTGATGAATTCCTATTGGTACGAGGAAGTGTCAAATTGAGGATGAACTAAGCTTGCTTAAGAGAGAAGACTACACAGCAGAGGACCCTGACTTACAGCAAATAAACTTAAGAGTTGGATGATTGAATAAAGAACTAATTAAACCATACATAAATAAAATAAAAAGACATACTTCAAAGACTTAAAACATAAGAGAATAAAGTTGCCCTGAATAAGAGAGAGACTTGGTTTTTGAAACTGCAATCAAGCAAGAAGAAAGAAGAAAGAAGAAAGAAGATTTAATGGACTTTTTTGGTGAGGGGAGTGTGATTGTGGGACTCCTTATTATCTTGGGGTTGGTCTGGGTGGTTTACTATTATAGGCATGTTTTATGGGGGAAAGCTTATTCATTTTGGAATGTGGAATACTTATTACCTGATTGTGTTGAGTGTGATTGCCCCGAAGTTAGTGTAGGGAGGATGGGAGCAGAATATATTCCACCAGATGATTCGGGATATAGCGAATGAAACAGAAGTTACTGAATGTTGGATTTGTAGTCATGGGCCTACTTCCCAGCGTGAGGGATGGCCACTAATGGTAGGAACATTATTAAGCCAAAAAGGATGGAGCACTTTACGGCCTCAAAATTATGAGATGACTGAAACTTTACTTGATCCAGGACAAGCTATAGTAACGTATGAAGGGACTTCGCCGGAGGCCCCAGCATGCATTACTTGGGAGAAAGATGAGAGATGGACCCAAGATAGGGACAACCCTCTCCACACACACCAAATAGAACTTGGTCATTATCCCAATTGCAATCTCCTTCTCCATGTATTCAAAACAGAGGTTTCTGAAGACATTAGCCTCCTAGCCCGTTTGGAACACTCAAGAAGGGTAAAAAGATTTGATGGAGTTGTTTCACCAGAATTGGGCACTCACATTAAACAGGRCCAGGCAAAAGTAGCCAGTAGGAGTCGTGATRCACCAAAGYCTCCTATCAAAGGGCTGCCTCAGGGCCAGGGGGAACCACCTGTTGAAAGGCCACAGCAGAGTAGAGGAGAATCAAATCCTGCAAAAGTGGTAAAAGGGGTGGAAGCCCACCAGGAAGTGCCTAAATCGTTGATAGCCAAGGGAGGCTTGTCTCAGGGATTGTATTGGATCTGTGGACAATGGGCAGGAAAGATTTTACCGCCTTTTTGGGAAGGTACGTGCACGATTGGTACCCTGATGCTAGCAGATGTGACAATATACCCAGAACAACAATCCCAGGTGACTTGGAGAAGGGAG